CTTGTTGCTCATTTCAAAGCAGGACCATGATTCGTTTTACGCTGCTTCTGAGTTGCAGATTGGGAACTGAAAGTACCTTCCACAGCTGCCTGTCATAACCCCACCAGGAGATGCGTAGAGACAGAATGCGGAGATTGAGGCCTGGCACGGCTTCCTGGAGACGATGAGTTCATAGTTGGCCTTGCAAGACGAGGCCTATGTAAACGAGATTCGCCTCTGCATCAGTGTCAAGGACGAGATCCGACAGGACCGTTTGCCTCCTGACACTGCAGCTCGGTCGGCGAAGTTGTTTTCTGTGCCACGCTGTTTTGCGATACTTTTGTGGAAATGTACAACAATTCCAAAACGGCCGCTTTTTGTCGAGTCCACCTTCGTTCGTCGGCAGCAGATCGGTGAGTTTGGTGACTGCCCTTGTATGGCATTCTTTCACTGGCAACTTGGAAGCCAAGCTAATTAACACTGGCTTCATCGTTTTTGCAGACTTGCATTCTTGGCTACATCCTAATGCTTTGGTTAGTAAGTTCTAGACTGTGCTCAAGGGTTCTAGCAAGTTTTTTTTCACCAGATCTTGAGGATCCGGTTCGCTGCTTGCCTTCAATTGCTTGTCGTTCTTCAAGTCGCGTTTCTTAAAGGACACAGTGACTCACATTGAGGTTATCCTGGTGCCGCGTGCCCTGTCTTTACCTTCACGCGACAGTGTTGGCTTGGCTACCGTCACAAGTTCCATTTCCGAGCAGGTAGTTATCACTGAATACCTTTCACTGCAACTGCTGCGGGTCTAGCATGTGGGAAAAATGATGGAGGCTCCGAGACCTGCTCGTAAAGCATTCCCGTTGCCAAGCTCAAGCGCTAACATTCACCATACTACAGCGTCTAAATGTTCGACACGTGCCACCGATGGAAAAACCACAGCACCACCTTGACAGACACGCTTGGGTTTACCGACTTCGGTCTGGACAGGGCTCGACCGTTACCTTTGTGATATCCCTTCCGCTGGGGTGTTCTCCTCTGCGCCTCCAACATTTTCAGGTGTAGCAAGGGGCCAGTCCCTTGCTTTGCACTAGAAGTCACGGCGTCTTCTTCGTCAAGACAATCCCAGCGCTCGCGCTCACGTTCTCCTCGGCAGGCAGCAGAGCAAAATACGATCAGGCTCGCATTGGTGGAAAGAACAGTTGGAGAACGTTTTTCGCAGTTACATCCAAGACAAGCATATTACGGAGGAGAAAACGGATGTTTATCGGGCGACCTGACCATGCTTTGGCAGGCTTGGCCAGATGGTCAAAGACAAGGATGGTTTGTAATGTAAAATGCTTTCTTCCGAGGAGGCACGCCGCTTTCTGCTTTGGCATATCCAATTTGCCGACTGTTTTCACCACTGGAAGTTCCCTCAGGCTTTGCGGGAACATACCAACAGTGACTTTATGTGTTAGCCTCCCTTTGGCGATCCACTGTCCACAGAACCCGCAAATAAGACTTCTAGCATGGTCTCTGACGATCTGCATCTTAGATTCCACTGTAATGTTAACTTTACATTGGTGATTCCCGCCGCAATTGTAAAATTCCGCTGCCGGAACACAATATATTGGCCGGGCGCGGCGTCGCGTGCGGTTGACTTTAACCGCTCAAAACGCCGCGCCGCCCGCAGGGCGGCGCGGCGTCAGTCGCGCCGCTCGAGGCGCCGCGACCTCTTTTAAGGGGCCTTGCAGCAACTAGCGGTCCGCCGCTCAAGGTGTCACGTCTTCAAAGAAGCTGTACGTAGCCTAGCAAACCGGAACCCACAGTCTGCCTTGGTACCTGTTTCTTCCGCGTGGAAATGCTGCCACCAACACGCCCTGCTAGTTCAACAGGTCTCTTCTTTGGGATCAAAGAGCTCACTCTAAACATCCTCGCCTCCGATGCGTGCAGGGAAGGACGTTGTTGCCCCCAGTCCCCCTTTCGTAGGGTCTTTGGAACCTAGAGGGTTTGCACTCCCGCTCTCCCCAACCAGGGTTAGGTCTTGCAGTGGGCGTTGTCTAAACGCATAGGCATGATAACAACATGTATTAACAACAAGATCACTCTAGGCGGCATGCCACAGTGCATTCACAAAACCTCACTGCAAATCTGATAATAAATAAAACCTTGAAACTGGCTGAACTTGACAAGTCATTTCAAAAACAAAAACAAGTATAAAGCCAAGAAACCTGTTATCCAGGGCTTGCTTCTGAAGCTGATCTTGTCCAAACTTGACGTCCATGCCAGCTTCTTGAAGAATAAGCTCTGTCGATAATGGGTGAAAGCCACTTGCGAAAGTTGCAAAACAGCTTCCAAACAGTGCGATGATCCACACCAAGTATGACACCGGCTTGATCTGGGCTGAGATTGATCGGTGATAAGAAAAGCCAAAGGGCACCAATTAACGACCGCAGGGCTAACTTCTTGTTAAAGAGGTTCTGGCGGCCCTTCTTTTGCTTACATGAAGCTGGCGCACAGCGATGTTCAACACAAGCCGCCCCATCCAGAGTTCACTTGCAGGTTCAAGCTTAAGATCTTTGACGGCCGACAGTGGGTGGAAGAGATCAGGGTTGGAGGCACCCAAAAGTTGGATGGCTTCTTTGCTTTCTTTTGAAGGAAGGTAGGCAAGCGGCCTGTCAACACCACTGGGCCTACTTCTAAGACGGCTGAGGCCATGGAAACACAGCTTTATGTGTAAAACTACCAAACCCTGGAACCTCAAAAGCGCCTGCACAGGTTGTTTGTTCGCGCACAAAGCGAAAGCTCACCAAGCTGAGACATGTCGTTCAAGCTTCTTTACAGTGCTGTTCAAGCTACGACTCGCTCAGACACTTTGCTCCTCTGCGTGACTTGAGCCACGCATTCAAAGCATGAGACACTTCCAGCTTCAGCTGGTTGTTCCTCCCTGCTGCTTGTTAACTTGTTAACATGCAGCTGCTGCCAAAACAAAATTTCGCAACAAAAGCTTCCATGCTATACAACCAAGGACTACTTTACAAACGCATGACATGCTCCCAAAACTCTCCATGACACGCTCAGCATTGAATGTCTCACAGTCCAGGCTCAGTGCTTTTGCAAAAGACTTCTCCAGCACGAAAACGCCCGTGCCCACGCAGTAACGATCATGCAAGCTCCAAACTTGCACAACGCACCAGAAGCGATATGCATTGCCTTCCAAAAGCAATGCATATAGCCACTTCATCATACGCTGACACCAAGAGGGCAGAAGCTGGCACATACAGAAAACTCGCAGATATCCATATCGCTCTTCCACCAATCCAAGCCCAATGGCCAGGATCCAGAAGCCATATATTTTCACACCCCCTTTCGATGTGGATATCGGCGCTGAAAAACGCAAAAGACATGTTGCCACGTAGAAGCATCAACCAGGCACAGAAGCAGCTGCGTGTAGTCCAGGCGGAAGCGAAGCGGAATTGTACTGAATTCCAGACATGGGATGCCCAGTAGTGAAGATGGACTCAACTCTGCTGGTTCCCATACTCAGCTAAAGGTTGCTCTCACGCAAAGGCCAAGACGATTCAAAAGGTCTTGCTTTCGATATTGCCAGCCCGGAAAAGCTGGGCCTCACGATGCCATCTGCACCCGTCGAAAGATGTGGACCGCCCAAAGCGAAAGCACCATAGCGCCCTCTAACAGCAGTTCACAGAATTCGGAGTGCTCATACTCTTCAAAGCCAAACCAGCAGCAAACTCTTCCCGCAAGCCACACTGCAGTGCTACCCAAAGCGAAGGCTCTCCAAGCCTTCTAACAGTAGCCAACAATGCTGCTCGTTCCTTTCAGAGTTCACTGCGCCAACTTCCTTTGGAATCCGCTGGATTTCGTAAAGCCCACATAGGTAAGGTAACCGGCCAGGTCTACCGCCTGGGAACGTGGCTGGCCACCTTTGTACTCATGTCCGAACTTCGTTCGAACCCAAGCAAGGTACTTTGTCAACTCCGCATTGGTAGCACTCATCTCCACCAAAGCAGCGTAGGTTCTTCCTTTCCACTCCTTCACCGAATTGAGCTTCGGCAATTCAGCGATGGTGCGATCCCACTGAGATTTCGTAGTGTTTTCCGGAAGGCTCGCTTCAAACGCCCCTTCGCCCCCTGTATAGGAGACTAGAAGGAACTGGTCATCCTCCCCATCATCTTCGGCCAAGCTTGCTCGCTGGCTGCTCGCTGACCCACTCGTCCTCACGACAGCAGTCATCGCGGTAGCCTTCGGAATCGGCAGCTGCTCGCTGCCAACATACCCACTGGTCTTGGCGTCGTCACCCTCAAAGTGGCGTCGCTTGGGCGCATCGGTCATGCTGCCTTCGGTATGCACAACCTCTGCTGCTGCTGACTTTGCCAGCAAGCGCTGCAACTCACGACGCTCATCTTCGGTGAGCACCATTGCAGGAACTACGGGCTTCAAGCTGGTATATACGCAACAACTAGCGAAAACGCACGAACTTCAGCCCAAGCAGGCGCAAAGAACCCAAAAAAATCCACCTCCTCAGGAGGTCGAGGCGTTCAGACTGCGCAGCGATTGCTGCAGGGACTAGCTGCAGGGATTGCTTGCAGGGACTGCCTGCAGGAATTGCTTGCAGGGACTGCCTGCAAGGATTGCTTGCAGGGACTGCCTGCAGGGATTGCTTGCAGGGACTGCCTGCAGGGATTGCTTGCAGGGACTGCCTGCAGGGATTGCTTGCAGGGACTGCCTGCAGGGATTGCTTGCAGGGACTGCCTGCAGGGATTGCTTGCAGGGACTGCCTGCAGGGATTGCTTGCAGGGACTGCCTGCAGGGATTGCTTGCAGGGACTGCCTGCAGGGATTGCTTGCAGGGACTGCCTGCAGGAATTGCTGCAGGGATTGCTGCGCAATGCTCTCACAGCACCCTTCACAATTGTTTCAGCAAGTTTCGGTGTGTAAAAACCAGTGGCTAACCACTCTACATGCATTGCGGGCGCATGCTGCAGGCACTCACAACGTGAGAAGCAAGCAAGCTCACTCACAAAACGCTCAGACGTTGAGGTGAAGCCCAAAACCTTCTCGATAGGCTTTTGCCGTCAAACCCGTCACACAGAGCTTCACAGGAACCTCAAAGTCATGCTTAGCTTCGCGCAGAACCCTCTTACACATCGCGTAGCCCCAGATTCGATTGCTCCAAGGAAGCTCAAAGCTAGAATGCGCTCCAAGACACAAGTACTTTCGAACGGACGGGAACACTTCAAACCACTCCCAATCGGATCGTGTTTGCTCAGACGATACCCTTCCATGCGTGAAATTTCGAAGTGGCGAGCCGGAGGAGCATGGAGTGGATACATGGACAAAAACGTCACTCTTCTCAAAGTTTGCAAGGTAGGACTTCAGGCTTGCGAACACTTTCGGGCTTTGCATGTTGGCGCACACACCCGCGTACGATACACCTAACATGCTGCACACGGCTTGAATGCTCGACTGTTCCCGGCAACACACCTCCACGACAACGTAGCGCCTACTTGCATTAGCCAAACTGCAGATCGGACTCGCAAAAAGCTCAAAGCCAAGAGACTGTCGATGGATGCCAAAGGCTGCACTTCCAAGGCACTTCGTGAGTAGGTCACTCGGATTGTCCACCCCCTTTCGAAAGGCAAGAACCAACTGACCCTCAACAACCCTCGACTTCAGCCACTCAACACGTATCTCAAGGTGGCGACTCCTCTTAGGAATGTCCATGTTCTTCAGAAGCTTCAGTGAGGACTCTGAGTCCGAAAACAAGACACCTGGGATCTCTGCAGCCTCCACTTCTCCAAACGTACCAAAAACCCTGCCGAGAAATTTCCCCAAGCTTGACATCTCCTGCGCCACAGCTTGCAAAGCAAACAGTTCACTCTCCATGCTAGATAGCGACACAAGCTGTTGATGTCGACATAAGGTTTTGACAACACACCCGTCTACTGTCAACACTCCTCCAGTAATACCTCGTTTTTTGGTGCAACGAAGAGGAGCGTGCGACGCATCCGAAAAACAGACCATGTGTTTTTGCTGTGAAAAATGTTTCTGCTGATGTAGAACGTCACTGGCCGCAGGCAACCTCACAGCCACGCACATGTCGTTCTGTAGATACCGCAGCAAGGCCCGCAGTCCCTGCTCGGTATTGTTGGTTGGGATTGATTGTTGAGTGGCCAGAATTGAAACATAAGCTCGAAGGTCCTGCCGTGTCTGCGTCATCCAAGCCACCTTTCCCAGCGCCGACCTGAACCGCGCGTAAGCTTCAGGACTCAGTGGCAGCCCACCTTCCTTTTCTACATGCACTGCAACGTCCGGTGGACTTGAAGTTCCTTTTCCAGATAACCCATAGGCGTTAAAGGTGTCATCAAGATAGTCCTGTGGCAAAGAAACAGTCAACGAAGCCTCACCCTTCCTACGAGAGATGACACGACCGATGAATCTCAACACCCCGCCTCCAGCTGCTGAAGATCGAATCACCCCGGTTCTCTTCAACTCCACTAAACGCTCAATGGCCTCAAAGATGCGGTTTGCATCCTCTTCTGTTGGCGTCATCAAGAGAAAGTCGTCAAACATACACCAGCAGTATGCACGGTCCTGACTCCAACAAGCCTGAAAAGAGGCAAGGCTCCAGAGAGCAACTGCGCAAGCCTGAACCAATGCTTTTCACCACGTCCGCAACGAAGCAGATCCATTCTTGTGAAGCTTTGCGTAGCCCGTTCAGGGCCTTGCGCAAGTGTAGATACAGCGGTTCCCCGCTGACCGTGGATACTGACAGAGGAAACTTCATCACCACATCACGCTCACGCAGCGGCGTTGCCATGAAAGCATGCGACACATCACCTCCTGACAACACAAGATCACGACAGCCTGCTATGCCGAGCACTGTAAACAGCGCATCAGCACTGGGGGTGGGACTCGAAATTCCCAAGGATCTTGCAGATCCTGAGCTCTTTCCTGCTACGTCCTTAATGACGATTCGAGCTCTCACGGTAGTGGGAGTTTTTTGCGTTGTCACCCATCGACTTGGAATCACCCTCAAGGTTCCAGGAAACTTCTTCTCAAGTGCTTGCAACTCAGAAGCCGTTAAAAGATCCCCGGTCTCCATGTGACTGAGGTTGTTCACTTCCTTGAGCATTCCCTCCATGACTTCATCACCTGGTAGCTCAGACAACGTCGAATCATCAACTGCTGATCTCGGGCGCCAAACTCGTAGATGTGAACGCTTCCCAAAAGGCACAACGACACTTGTAGCGTTGGGAGCAAACTGCACAGAGTCAAGCAAACCGGAAAGCAAAGGCACATGCTGGGTCACCTGAAACGCTTGCTCAACAAAGCTAGACAAAGGCATGTAGATGTCATTGCCAGTCTCACAATTATGCACCTGTACCACGCAAGCGTTCACACCTTGTCGCATTTCCTCCTCCAACTTCTCAACAGGGACTTCAGACGATCGCTTCACGCTTCTCGTGGTCAACTCAGGCTCAGTCCGAATGTCATCTTCCATGGGCATGTCCACGTCATGGTCAATCTCACTGGACATCTCTAGCGCCTCCGAGGGTGCACTTGGAGCAACAGGCACAAGACCAGGAACATCACCCTGCTCACCTTCTTGGAACCTCACTTCTTGATTCCGCCTCTTGCATTCAGTGTTGTGCCTGATGCCCGGAGCATTCATTCCCGATTCACACGAAGGACACCCTCTTGTGAACGTACGCGCGCATGAGTGCTCACGAGACGCAACCGATCGCTCAGGAAGCTCAGCTGAAGGAGTTTCGGGCTCACGTCGCAATTTCTTTGCACTCGGCAGTGGCACTTCAGAACCATCTTGTGCATTTTCGGCTTCTCCAGCTTCTTCCAACGTTGCAAGTGCATCCTGCACCACTTCTGGAGCTGGTGCGTGCGCAGGAGGCTCTCCAGCAGACTCCTCAACCAACTGACTGCGCAGCCAAGCTTCATATCGATCACAGCACGCACGCCCATGCGACAATCCCTTTCGAGATCCAAGGCGCAGCATGCAATCACACGCTCGACATCCATCAGACGGTCCAAATCGCTCAAAGAACTCTTTCGGTGGGCCTGTAGATGGACACTTCAGTGATGCCCCTTGTGCACTTGGAAGGATGCGAGGAGCCACTGGATGCTCACCCGGTGTTCTCGGTCCTTGCTCGCCCCGAATTTTCAAGACAGAAAACATGCCCGACCCAAACACAATCTCAATCGGATACACAAGCTTGAAGGACTTTGCCACAAACGCTTTGGGCACCAACTCCTGTCCAACTCGCACATATGCAAAGACCAAGCTTCCAAGTGACCCAAATTGAGGATGCAAATAGGCTGCAGCCACAAATCGCGACATGTTGGGGCAGAGATTCTTCACAGACTCAGGCACCTCTGCGAGCACTTTAGACCCAAACAGCGCAAAGGCTGCTTCAGGCAGTCTACGTCCAGAGGCGATCTCCTTTGGTGCACGCTCCCCACCAAACGCCTTGTCGTTAGCATTGCCACTCATGCACAAGTAAGTAAGCACAAGCTGCACCAAGTCTCTCCGAAACACTAGTGCAAAACCAAGCTCTTGGAAGTCAGACTGAAGAGTGGCAAGACCCTCCTTCAGAACTCTCACTGTGCGCTCAGCTCCTCCGATTTGCTCATGAGCTTGTGGCGCCGCTTTCCTCACCAGGAAGGTGTACCTGTCTGAGGCACCAAACAACCCAAACTCTGCCAGCCACTTCATCAAAAGGGCACGATCCTTGCTCACATTCTCCGTCATGACAATGGCTCCAACGCATGAAGAAAACGACTCACGCAAAACAAGAACCTTGAAAGAGTCATCTGTTTGTTGATCCACCACGCTGACCGACTCACCAACTGCACTCAAGTACATAAAATCGGCAACAATTTCAGTCTCAAGCCCATGCTCCAAGCGACGCCTATGCCGATTCACTCCCCGGGACTTTACACAATGTTCACAGTCTGGATGAAAAGGCACATGCCCCTTTGTTCGATGGACTTCAAGTTCCTCCTGCGTACGCCGGGAAAGCACAGCAACATGCCCAACGGACGCTGACGTAGCAACATCTTGTTCACACACGTCCTCTTCAAACAAGGCCAGCATTTGATCATGACCTGAGCTGTCCAGGACTTTGATCCAAGGAGTGTCGCACCAGATGCACGTGTCAATCATCTCAACAGGAGTTCTCACACGCGACACATGCACCCCTTCATCCAACACAACTCGCCAACCCAACCGACCAAGTGCGCTCGTCGACAGGATGTTATAGGGAGTGTCACCAACCATCACTGGCACTCTGCACACACCATCCTTGATGACTCCCTTTTCATCCCGCGTGCGTACACGCAGAACAACACTGCAACGTCCTAGAAACGGTACCGGGGCGCCATTTGCTGCGGTAAAGAGTGCCCCACAAGGCACAATTTCGTCATGATGCAACTGCTCAAGCGATTTCCGGGTCACCACACAGCTCGAAGCGCCTGAGTCTAGCAGCCAGTACTCAGATCCCAACGTCTCCTGGACTGACTGGAGCAACGGCTGACACAAGACCAACGATGGCACGCTCTCAACGCAAGCGAGGACATGTTCAAGACGCGTATTGGGCTCATTTCTTTCAGCAGACAACAAAGAGGACAGTAGGAGAACAGTCTCAGCACTCGGCTCAGCGGAAGTTGGTTCCCCACAAGGCTCCTCCAAGGTTCCATCCCGCTTCTGCGTACCACCACATGCCCGACTCCTCATCGAACATCGCAAAAAGCTTGCCCTTCTTCCCGCCTTGGCCCTTTCCTTTTCCCTTTGAGAAAGAGGACCCCTTCTTTGGCGAAAAAGGTCTTTCTGCAGACCCCTTTGGCAGCCCAGACCCCTTTGGTGACGTACTGCCCTTAGGTCCGACAACGGCGCGCGCATCTGTATCCTTGCCCTTGCTGCAGTTCACTGAGATGTGGCCGAACTCTCCACACTTGAAGCTTTGGTTTTCGCAAGACTAACAGAACACTGGCTGGTGGCATGGCCTTGCTTGCCACAACGTCCACACCTCTCCATGTCTGTCCCCTTTGCACCACCCTTTGCTACAAGCAACTGACCACCCCACTCATCCGCTGCAACGTTCAGAGTATCCGAATGCTCACTGGCTTCTTCAGTATGCAAGCCAAACATATGCTTCGCACCATGACCATGCAGTTCCATGAAGAGTCTCTGCTGATGTTCCCAACGCAACGACGACGCACGATAAGACCCATAGGTTTCACCTTGCGAGTGGTGCAACGTGTACGCCCTCGCATGATCTGGCAGCGACCTGATGAGCAAAGTGAGCTGATCACTGTCAGTCAAGCCCAACCCAACTGCATCACCAGGTTCAAGTGTCGACAACAAACGTTGGTACCTTGCCACTGCGATCTCGATTTGTCGAACAGTATCAGCAACCGGAGCTGACGTGCCGCTTTGTGTCTGAAACGTTCTCGCCATCAACATGGCACGCAGTGACATTGCTTTCAGCTCGACTTCGCAAAGAAAACTCACGCACAAGCTGCCTGAGGAACTCAAAGCCAGTGCCCATGTACGCAAGCGAGTTACCAAACATATCTCCCAACTGCAACAATGTCCAAGCCTTCACCAAAGCTCTGAATCATCAATGTGATGCGACCATGGTCCGAAAAGCCGCCTTTAAAACACTAAACAGCCGCACTCCCGAGCTTGCTCTGCGCGCGGCGCAGATGTGTGCAACTTGCATTCTGGCAATTTGCAATTGGCCGTTTGGAAAACGACGGCAGAATCTGAGGGGCCTTCCGCTTGGTAGGACTGTCAGTGCTTCGACCTGAGCTCTTGGGCGACTCTTTTTTTTCGAAGGGCTGGACCTGAGTTGGAGCAGGCGAGAGACATCGTTCTGAATGGCAGTAAGGTGGGCGTGCGTAGGCCCAGCTGGGCATCAGGCTGTCCTTGAGGTTCGAGGCGCATGGGACAGTTCCGGACGCCTGTCTTCTGGCCGGCAAGGCAGGTCACGGAAAAGGTGCGGAGACGTGGGAGCATGAGAGCAGACGATCCATGGAGCAATGGAAGTTAATCTGACCCTTGGGCTCTGTGGCAACTTTCCAGAACAAGTAATTGCAATGCAACTGGAGTGCATGTGAACGTGCCAGTTCCACCTTTAACTTCTTCGTCGTCCGAACTGGTGAGAAAGAGAGGAGAGCGTGAGTTTTGGAGTGTCACCTGATCTTTCAACAGACAAGCGTATGACAATGTGACAGGTGCACGGCAGTTGATAGGTCGAGCAGAGTTGCGTGCTGTCTTCATGGACTCAAGTCAGCGGTTGAACCAACAGTCAGGGCAGTTTGTCTCGAGGCTGCGGCAGTCACCTCCTAATCCCAGAGTGCCGGCGTTTGCCAGACCAGAAGGGGCGTTGTCACGAGCAGGGTAATGGCTTGGTCTTAGGATCCAGCGCAGCTTTTCCCCTGGCTTGAGGCTGTAATGCACTAGGCTGAGTGGGCGGATACTGGGCATGGAGTTCTGGTCGAGCAGTTCCCTAGGATAATTTGCCTTGAAATCTGTCGATCATATCCAGGCGCGGGGGCAGGTGTTCCATCCATTGGGATGGTTGAGGCGGAGGCTTGGACTTCCCCGGGCGAGGCCGTGCCGGCATCGGGAGCCTGGGTCTTCTTGTGGCACTGGTTCAAGGCCTTGCGGAGGCAGGAGGTGTTGGGCAGTCCATGGCTGGGCGCGATGAGATCAGAGGGGGGATCGAGGAGCACGTTCATATCGGAGATGGCTGCGGCGGGCACCTCGGCAAGCATGGGGTGCGAGCAGGGGGGCATTTGTAGGGGGGGCCAACCTGCGAGCAATCCAAGCGGCAGACAGCGGCGCCGTCTTTTCTTGCATGCGGGCCGAGTTCAGCTGGGCGAGCCGGCTAAGCAATCCAGTGCGAGGCGGCAGGCTTTATGCGGTCCGGAGCGGGCCGTGTGAGCTCCGTTCCGGCTGGGCCGATCAGTATCCCGCAGGCTGTGCGCCATTGGGTCTTGTGGGCAACGTGGGCCATATGCACCGCCCCCCATGGGCCATTGGCAAGGATGATGCAGTTGATATCGGAGGGTTGTCGCCGTTTTACGTGGCGGAGGAGCCTCCGTGGGGCTGGCGGCGCAAGCGAGGCTCCAGGTGAGAGAAGGCTCGGCTGCTCGGGGCGGCGTGGCGGGGCACCGAGAAAGGCGGTTCGGTGGTGGGAGCCTGTCCACCACGGGCGATTGGGCGCGAGGGGCGCCAACCGTCCGCTGCTCTCTGGGCCACAGTGGTTTGCACCCATAGGCTGTCGACAGTGTCGTCCCTGCGGCGGAGCTTTTGGGATGGCCGGTGGTGCGGCGGGCGTCTTCGGGCAAGCGTTGCGCTGAGGAGACCGACTTTGAGGCTGTGGATTGTGAAGGCACAGGTCTCGTCACTGCATGCAGTGCTAGGGGCATTGGGGCTGGCAAGCTGCGTGCAGGCGCGCAAGGCAGGCAGGGCCTGTGAATAGGACATAGGCGACTGAAAGGCGAAGTCCGTTGTTGTCTTGGAGGCCCAGTTGGGCAGGATGGGCAGCAAAAGGTCGGGCTCGAGCTCTGAGTTCCAGAAGGCTTCCGTGGCTAGCCAGCATCTGTGTAGGCACAGGAGGTAGTTTAGGCACCACGAGCTTGCTGTGCAGCGACCTGACAGGCCCGTCAGGTGACGGCGAATGGCTGACCTGTGTGCGACGTTTTAGTGGACCAGCAGATCCCGCGACGGGACTGGGCTGTGAGGCTGAGGCTGGAGAGGCGGATCCGTTGCGGATCGCCAAAGCGCAGGTAGGCATCGTAGGCCAAGAGGAATGCTCCGAGTAGCAGTACCAGCTGTGTACCGGAGGCCAGTTGCAGACAATTTCTTCCCAGGCGACGACGCAGGCCAGAGGGAGAGGCAGGGCTTCTTGCGATCCCTGTGTGGGAGGTCCCAGCCAAAGGCTTGTATAATGGCGTTCGAGACCATGCTGATGTGCTCTCGATTGGAGGGCGGCATCGAGAAAGTCGGCCAAGCAGGCAAGAGTCAGCGTGTCTAGGCTGATGTCCTGGGCTCGCAGGAAGGCCACGAATTGTGCGTGCCGAGAGGTAGGCTTCCAGGCTGGAGGGTGCGTACTTGGCAATCGCTCGCAGGCGATGTTTGTCGGGCGAGAGTGAAAGGGACGTCTCTGCCCAAAGCTGGCTGAAGCTGCCTATGGAAGCAAGCAACTGGAGCCATGCACGACCTCAGCAGGCTCGGCGCTCGTCGTCTTGGAGGCGTCTGGTGAGGAGGCTGGGCCGGGCAGTCGCTGTTGCGCGGATGGCGGCCGGGAGGCGGCTGCCTTGATGAATGCAGGCATGGGCGCGTCTTCCGCTGAGGAGTCTGAGGCAGCGGGGCAGGCCTATTAATGGAGGTGCTTAAGGGTGTGGGTCGGGGAGTCGGGGCAGGCTTAGGCTGGGCAGCTGGGCGGGCCATGTGAAAGCGCTTGCTGTATGCAGGCGGGGGCAGGCCTCCCGGAGGCAGGCAGGGGGCTCCATGGGTAGGCCCCGAGCGCGGCGGCAGTTCCTTTTGTGGCTGGCCATGCGTTTCGCGGCCGGAGCAGCTGAGGTATGTGGTGAGGTGCTTGCACAGGCATGCGTGCAGGGGCTTTGGGCGGCCTCAGCGGCGATGCGAGCTGCTCCAAGAGGCGCGGGGCCTAAAGAGAGCATGTGGCATGTTAGGGTGCAGGCAATCGAAGGGTTGGTCAAGAATGGCTGCGGAAGACATCAAAGGGGTCAGGTGCATCAACGCTGCATGCTGGGCTGCAGGCGTGCAAAAATGTAGGCAAGAAAAGCAAGCAGGCGATGCAAACACTCCTTTTCCTTTACCTCATCCGCGTAGAAGATGTCGGAGATGAGCTGCACCTGGTCAGGGGGCAAAGGGAGGCAAGGGGGGGGGCATATCTGTATCCCTGGCGGCAGAGGCTCTTTTGGTACACGGGCAAACTGGGCAGTGTGGGCAAGAAACTTGTGTCTTGAGAGAATGGGCCCTGAATTCGGGCACAAACCCATGAAGGCAGGTCATCATGTGCAGTCTGTGCAGGCCAGCAAGTGCCCTCAGGGCCTGGCGAAATGCCCCCAGGGGGATTCCCTGCGCCGGTCGAATTCGTGGCAGCGGCTGCATTGGTGACGATCATGCCTATCGGCATCGGGATCGTCCACGTTTTGGGCGCACACTAGGCTCCATGGGCAAAAGGGCTGTGTGCTGCAAGGCCTGGCACATCGTAGGCGTCGGTTGTGGTCTGTGTAGAGGAGGCGTGTGTCTTCCTGGGCAATCCGGAAAGTATCCGGGAGGCAAATGCTGGGCACTATGGTGCAACCGCGATACCTCCTGTCGGGCGGCTCGGGGATGCATAGGCGTGGGCAGGGAGGCATTCTGTCTGCTGCAGGCAGAGGCGCAAAGGAGGAGGTTTTGTGGGCGGAGTCACGAGGGGCGGGCCTGCGAGGCTCCTGGGCGTCCCCTTTGTCGGAGAGCAGGCCGAGTAGGTCCGTGTCGGCGTCAGTCTGGCCATCCTCGGTGGCGTGTTTGCCGGGCGCCGGGTGGCTGGGCGGGTTGTCAAAAGGGCATGGGCCTGAGAAGACAGCGAAGGACTCTTGGTCCAACATGAACTTGGACCCGATGGTCCCTTGGGCTGCTTGGGACTTGATAAGCTCGTAGTCCAGGCGGTGGATCATGATGGAGTTTCGGTCATCTCTGACGATGCACTCCCC